ATGTGATATTAATGATATTGTTCTATAATTTCTACATTCTGTGGGATCACCTTTCTTTGGAATGGGCACAAATATGGATCTCTTCCAGTATATAGTGATTTGGGTGAAAGTTTGCTGAGCAAATTTGTTTTCCATACAGCAATTCATATACATTTTGTTTCATGACATTGATTGAAATTTCCCACAATGCAACAGTGTCTCTTCCCACTTCCACCCTGTAGTTACCTCTTCCCTATGTCCTTCCCTTCCATCCAGTCTCACCCTCTGAGCTGTCTCTTTTGCAAACACTGCCCTTCTCTTCCCCCACGATTGTTTGCTCCAAAGATTGTATCTATCTGATATAAATATTCAACCCATATGCCTGTCTCTTGTTTGATGGGAAGCCACAGGAGTGAACTCAGTTTCAGACCTGAAGGGTAACTAGAGGCCACAGTCTTGGAAGTCTCACCAGGCTCTATCAGATGAACAAACTTGACTTTTTTTTTTTTAATGATTTTGAGTTTTGTTCCACATTGTGGAACAATCTTTACTTTTTTTTTTAAGATATGGAGAATTAATTTATGGAAAAGAAAAGAGTGATTTTTTAACCCACCTACATTTATATTGCAAATAAAATTTGGCTTGATTTTAGACAACTAAAATGTTTAGCTTATGTTTATTAATTACAATGCAACTGTGTCTCAGTTGGAAACTCTGGTAGCGTAGTGCCTAAGACATTTGACTGCTAACGGAAGGCTGGTGGTTCAAACCCACCAGCCAGTCCTTGGAAGGAAGATGGGGCAATCTACTTCTGTAGTGATACTGCCTCGGAAACCCAAGAAGGAGTCTCTATGAGTCAGGTCCGACTTGACGGCACATAATATCAACAACAACAACATCTCAGGTAAAGAGTGCCCTCAAAATTAAGTTCTTTCCCATAACAATAGTGAAGTCATTTTAAAGTAAATTTAAATAATATCAAAAATAATCAAGCAAAGAAATGTCAATGTAATCATATTATACAATGATTATGAGTCAAAATCAACTCGATGGCAGTGAGTTTGGTTTCATTTTTTATATGTTCTTTTAATTATTCTTGACTACCTCTTATAGTCGAGTTGATTTTGACTCATAATCATAGATTGGATTTCCAAGACTGTAACTCTTTACAGAGGCAGACTGCCTCAACTTTCTTCCATAGAGCAGCTATTGGGTTTGAACACTCAACCTTCTGGTTATCAGCCAAATGCCTTAATCACTATACCACCAGAGCTCCTTGAAAGGAAATATGATACTTTGCTTTATTATCATGATAAACACTGAAACAATCTCTTTCGTTCTCTCCTGCTTCTTGTGGCCATCCTGAATCTCTTCTTTCTTCACTTGCAAATCAATTTGTTAATAGTTATGTCAAATGACACTTCTATAAGTGTTGCTGTTGTTGTTATGTGCCATCAAGTTAGCCCCGACTCATAGTGACTCCTCCTTGGGTTTCCGAGGAGCTATCACTATGGAAGTAAATTGCCCAACCTTCCTTCCGAGGAGTGGCTGGTGGGTTTGAACCGCCAGCCTTCTGGTTAGCAGTCAAGTGCCTTAGGTACTAAATACTACCTAGTTTCTCTCTTAGGAGCTCTGGTGGTGTTCTTGACTATAAGAGGTAGGGGAGCTCTGGTAGCATAGTGGCTAAGACACTTGCCTGCTAACCAGACGGCTGGCGGTTCAAACCCACCAGCCACTCCTCGGAAGGAAGGTTGGGCAATCCTACTTCCGTAGTGATACTGCCTCGGAAACCCAAGGAGGGGTCACTATGAGTCGGGGTCACTATGAGTCGGGGTCACTATGAGTCGGGGCCAACTCGACGGCACATAACAACAACAAATAAGAGGTAGATCAGGTGCTCTGGCGATGCTGTAGTTAAATCATCTGGTTGCTAACCCAAAGGTCAACAGTTTGAACCCACCAGCTGCTCCACGCGAGAAAGATGAGGTAGTCTGTTCCCATAAAGATTTAAAGCCCTGCAAATCCTATGGGGCAGTTCTATTCTATCCTACTGGGTTGTAATGAGTCAGAATCCTGTAGGTGGCAACGGATTTGGTTTTGGTTTTAGAATAGGAAGTTCTTTATCTGCATGGAGTTGCTTGAAAAATCATTTTTAACTTATTGCGATAAATTAAGCATGCAATGACATTTGTAAAAATATATACTCATAATAACATCTGGCTAACACTATCATAAAATAGTGTACATTAGGGTTTAAAATTTAGTTAAAGTTTCCCACAGCAGAAAGAGCTTTATTAAAGTTTAAATAAGTACTTTTTAACTTGAAATATACCCCATACTGTTAGGTAATGCAGAATGTTGAGAAAAGTAACTAGAAACTAATCCTCCAAGTTTGCAAAATCAAATATTCTATACTACAGGTAATCTCACTATTGCTCAGTCACTATAAATCAGATTATTCTTGAGATTGTAAGGCAAGATGGTCTTCTATTAACCAACGTAATTTAGCCTCATGGATACGTAATCTTGTTAAAATATTGTCAACTTAATTGAAATTGATTTTTGTTTACTAAACTTAGTGAATACTAATCAAATATTAGACAATGAAGTGTCAGAGGCACATTTAAACCTTTGACGGACACTATTGCTGCTGCATGGGAATATTTGTTGTCTCTGAGGTCAACATTCCTTTTCAGCCTTTTCTTTAAAATATTTTAAAAGAGCAAACAGTCTGCATTGCCTTTTATGAAATTTTGTGATTTGGGAATATTTGAGATGATTTGGGATTGGTTTTCAGGGGAGTTATTTATATTTTTATTTCCATTGTAACAAATAGCATATTTACTTTTCCATCTGCTTAATTCCATTCCAGGTTTGCTATTCTCTAGCATTCATTGCATCGCTGAGCTCCACATAATAGCTTTTATAGGAGACAGACATTACTAGGCAATTAGAAAAGCAGGTTGAAGATAAAGCCTGATAGCTCACGTTCCCTGACCTGGTTACTAGGCTCCGTTCTGTAACTTCCAACAAATGGGCTCCATGTAGTCTCCTGTGTGGCATGGGCATTGGCTCTATGAGGCTTAAAGAAACATTTCTCCTAATACAAATATAAACCCACCATAATAATTCGTTTTGGGGAATATTTTTACAGTTGTTGTTTAACCTGCTCCCTTATGCCCTGCAATATTCATTAGCAGATTTCTCTGTTTATGAGTGATATTATATGGAATATGATTATGAGAAGCTAACAGATGTAACCACTGAAATAAATTAGTACAAAAAGTTCTATATTTTTACAGATGGTTCCATCAAATATGCTTTTTTTTTTCCCCCATTTCACTTTAACATTTAGTTTTCTTTCAACAGAAAACTTTTCTTTACTGACTACGGGAATGTGGCCAAAGTAGAGCGATGTGACATGGATGGGATGAACAGAACAAAGATAATTGATTCAAAGACAGAACAGCCAGCTGCACTGGCACTAGACCTAGTCAACAAATTGGTTTACTGGGTAGATCTTTACTTGGACTATGTGGAAGTAGTGGATTATCAAGGAAAAAACAGGCATATTATTATTCAAGGCCAACAAGTAAGTATAATGTTTGTTAGAAAATACAGCTCATGTGATAAAATGAACAGTATTATATGATGAATAAGAACAAAATTTGCAATGTTGAAAATTTCTTATGACGTTAAAGAGAAGTGAGTTATAAACATTGTGATAAATTTCCCGTGTGAGAGAATTTTCTTTTCAGAATGCATTCTGTGGTATTTGATAGCTTACAACACCTTCTAACTTCCATTAAAAACAAAACAAACAATAAGCAATCCAAAATAAACACAAATAACAAAGAAAATTAAAAAGTTATCCTTGAGAAAGTGTTAGAGTAAGAAAAATACTATGATTAACTTGTTGTGGTTGTCGTCAGATGCCTTCATGATGGCTCTGACTCACGGTGACCCTCTGTACAACACAATGAAACACTGTCTCATTCGGCACCATCTGCATGGTCGTTGCCATGCTTGAACCAATTGTCACAGCCTCTGTGTCAGTTAATTTTGGGGACAGTCTTCCTCTTTTTCCCTGACAACAGGCTTTACCAATCATGACATCATTCTCTCAGGAATGGTCCCTTCTTATAACATGCCAAAAGTATTTGAGACAAAGTCCTACCATTCTCACTTCTAAAGATAATTGTGGCTGTAAGTCTTCCAAGACAGATTTGTTCATTCTTATGGCAGTCCATGGTAGTAGATTTAATATTCTCCAACACCATAATTCAAAGGCATCAATTTTTCTTCAGTTTCCTTTATTCATTGTCCGGCTTTCACATGTATATGAGGTAACTGAAAACACAATATCTTGGGTAAAGTAACATTAGTCCTCAAAATAACACCTTTGCTTTTTAACAAGTTTGTATAGAATATTCTCTCAGTACAGTACATTGTTTGATTTCTTAACTGTTGCTTTTATTGATATTGTTCGTAGATCCAAATAAAATGAAATCCTTGACAATTTCAATCTTGTCTCTGTTTACCATGATATTGCTTATTGGTCTAGTTGTGAAGATTTCCCTTTTATTTATGTTTAGTGTGATGCATACTGAAGGCTGTATTCTTTGATCTTCATCAATAAGTATTTTAAGTCCTCTTTGTTTTCGGCAAGAAAGTTGTGTCATCTACATCACAAATTATTCACTTATCTTCCTCCAAGGTGGATGTCATATTTTCCTTCATATATTCCATCTTTCTTTTGTTTTATTTGTTCAGCATTTGATTGAATAAGTATGGTGGAAGGATACAACCCTGACATACACTTTTTCTGATTTTAAACCATGCAGTATTCCCCTGTTCTCTTCAAATGACTGCCTCTTGCTTTCTATAGGTTTTGTATGAGCACAATTAAGTCTTCTGGAATTCCTATTCTTCACAACTTTATCAATAATTTCTTATGATTTACACAATCAAATGTCTTTGAATAATAAATAAACACTGATAAACATCTTTCTGGTATTCTCTGCTTTCAAACAAGACCCATCTGACACAAACAGATATCCCTACTCCATGTCATTTTCTGAATCTAGCTTGAATTTCTAGAGTTCCCTGTTTATATACTGCTGCTACTGTATTTGAATTTTTTTTAAGTTGTGCTTTTGTGTGATATTATTGATATTACTCCATAATTTTAGCATTCTGTAGGATCATTTTTCTTTGGAACATTTACAGATATTGTTCTCTTTTAGTCAGTTGTCCAGGTAGATGTCTCCCAGATTTCTTGGCATGAACAAGTGAATGTTTCCAGTGCTGTGTGCATTTGTTGAAACATCTCCATTGGTATTCTGTCAATTCCCGAAGAGTTGTTTTTCACCAGTGCCTTCAATGCAGCTCAACTTCCTTCAGTGCCGTAGGTTCTTTATCATATACTACCTCCTTAAATGATTGAACATTGACCAACCCTTTTTAGCACAGTGACTCTTTATTCTTTCCACTTTCACTTGATGCTTCCTGTATCGTTCAATATTTTGACCATAGAATCCTTCAGTATTGCAACTGGAGGCTTGATTTTTTTTCTTCAGTTCTTTCATCTTGAAAAATGCCTACTATGTTCATACCTTTAACTCTAGGTCTTTGCACATTTCATTAAAATGCTTTACTTTGTCTTCTTTAGCTGCCCTTAGATATCTTCTGCTCAGTTGTTTTACTTCATAATTTCTTCCATTCACTTTAGCTACTCTATATTCAAAAGCATATTTCAGAGTCTTTTCTGACATCCGTTTTATTCTTTTCTGTTTTTTTTAATGACCTTCTGCTTTTTTTCATGTATGATGCTCTTAATGTGATCCCAAACTTGTGTGGTTTTCACTCATTAGTGTTCAGTGTGTCATATCTGTTCTTGAAATGTTCTCAAAACTGAGGTGTGAAGTACTTAAGGTGATACTTTGGCTCTCATGGACTTGTTTTAATTTTCTTCAGCTGCAACTTGAATTTTAATGTGAGCAATTGGTCTGTTCCACAGTCAATCCCTGGTCTTGTTCTGACTGATGATAGTTAGGTTATTAATCATCTCTTTTCACAGATATCATACATTTGAATCCTGTGAATTCCATCTGGCAAGGTCCACATGTACAGCTGCTGTTAATGTTTTCAAGAAAAAGATATCTCTAAAGAATGCATTGTTGGTCTTGCAAAATTCTATCATATGATCTTATGCATTGCTACTATCACTTAGACCATTTTTTCCAACTACTAATCCTTCTTTGTTTCCAACTTTAAATTGCAGAAGTTGATTAAAAAAAAATCAATTTATTTACTTTTGGCATTAGTTATTGGTGCATAAATTTGAATAATAGTTGCATTAACTAGTCTTCCTTGTAGGTGTATGGATATTAATCTATCACTGATAGTATTGTACTTCTCAATAGATATTGAAATATTCTTTTTGACAATGAATGCAATGCCATTGCTCTTTGATTTGTCATTCCTGCCATAATAGACCATATGCTTGTCCGATTCAAAATGACCAACATCAGTCTATTTCAGGTCATTAATTCCTAGCATATCAATCTTCAATTGTTCGTTTCATTTTTGATGACTTCTAATTTTCCTCAATTCATCCTTTATAAATTTCACATTCTGATTATTAATGAATGTTTACATCTGTTTCTTCTCATTTTGAGTTATGTAACATAGCAAATGAAGGTCCCCAAAGCTTTACTCCATTCACCCCATCATTAAGGTTGACTCTACTTTGAAGAGGCAGCTGTTCCCCAGTCATAATTTGAGTGCCTTCCAACCTGTGGAGTTTATCTTCTGATACTATATGAGACAGTGTTCTGCTGCTATTCGTAAAGTTTTCACCACTACTCATCTGTAAGTGTGTCATAGTATGGTGGCTTGCATATTGCTGTGATACTGAAAACTGTACCACCAATATTTCTAATATTGGCAGGGCCACCCATGTGGATGGGTTTTCACAGAGCTTCCAGACTAAGATAGACTAGGAAGAAGGACTTGGCAATCTACTTCTAAGAAAAATTAGCTAGTGACCTACTTACTAAGAACTGATTAAGTAGCTAGCTCATTCATAAGGATCTGAACTATCATCTGTCTCATGTGGCACCAGAGATATTTTGCTAACAAAATCAACCTCCTGTTTACAAAATAATGTTGTTGTTATTGTTGTTAGATGCCAGTGAATCAGCTCTGACTCATGCTTATCTATGTGCAACAGAACAAAACACGGCCTAGTCCTGTACCTTCCTCACAAACCTTGCTATACCAGAGCCCATTGTTTCAGACACTGTCAATCCATCTCGTTGAGAGTCTTCCCTTTTTCAACCACCTTCCACTTTACCAAGCATGATCTACTTCTCTAGGGAATGGTCCCTTCTGAAACATGACCAATATATTTGTTATAATAGTATATTGGGCTAACTTTCGCCTTCTGAGGCATTAAAACACTTCATCAACTAAGAATTCTGTGAAAGTCACTGAGGTCAAAATTCTTTTCATTTATGATATATTGTTCTTTATGAATTATAAGTTTTTACAAATAACTCCCAGTAAACACCTAAAGACAATCTTTAAATGGAAATAAGCATTTGCTACTAGTCCACCATATCAAATTCAATTGTACTTCTGTGATTGCACTAATTTTCCATTTGATCTTCATTCTATGGAGCTGAAATAGGCAAGTCTTTTTGCTTTCTTTTGTAATTCCTCCCAAAATTCAAACCAAACCCAAACCCAAACTCATTGCCATTAAGTCAGTTCTGACTCATAGATATTCAGTTACTATCTCTTAAAGTTACCCTTTTGACCATGGTTTTAAGGGTAGGATATTTTCCCTTTCCTTGAGAGATAAACTATTGCACTAACCGAGGTGGTTAAAAAATATGTCCAGTATCACTGAGGTAGCAGATTATTTCCTCTCTTGCTAGAATTGTCCTAATAACTTGGATGATTTTCTGTTGTGGTGTAGGCTAAGCTTATGAACTTCAGATGACCTAATGTTTGAAATGATTATGATGAACCTTCCTTTTAGTACTTGTAGTAGTTAAAAAATGAAAACAATTCTAAGTCTTGAAACATGACAAAGAATTCAAATATGATTTTCCCTATGACTACTGTAAAAACTTTTTCTTACATATATGTTTTGATTAGCTAACCTTTTCAATTCTGTTGTCTGTGTTTTACTGGTTTGCTAGACACACATTTAGTTGGTCACTAAGTGACTCAACATAGATTAAAAAAAATGTATTTGGGCTGTAGGCCCAATGTTGTATCTATCAGTCCAAACTCCTACCACCTCTGCGGGGGTAGTTAGCAGAGCAGGAAGCATTGTGCATATTTTAAGGGAAATAGATTATTCTGAAGGAAGGGAGAGAGGTGGTAAATGGAATTTGATCTTGCTTTCTGCATATGTTTTCTACTCTTGCCAATTCTTTCCTGTATTCTGTGCTTTCTTGCGTAAGATGTGAAATGTCAATTATGTGCAAAGCAATGAATATGTGCATGCTACAAGTGCAGATTCCCGGGTGGTCCTCTTCAAATTTTGAGCAAAATATGCATGAATTTAATGGCAAGGAAAGAGTCCAGTTTCCTTCTTTTATAGGAAAAAAATATATAGACAAAATTGGACCTTTGATTTATTTGCTGAATATGACATCAAGTCCATAGAGATTATTAATAATACACATACTCACATTCACACATATTTGTCCTTAATGTGTGTATGCACACACACACAGCCATGTGTACCTTATCAGGGAGTAATACTTATATAGAGAAATAACACTTGCACTTTATTGTTTTTGTTAGGTCCCATTGAGTCAGTTTCATTTCACAACAAATCTATGTACAGCAGGATGATCTAAGGTTTTCATTGACCAATAGTTTAGTAGTAGATTATCAGGTCTTTCCTCCTAGTTTATCTTAGTTTGAAACTCCACTGAAATCTGCCCACCATGGGTGATGTTGCTAGTATTTGAAATATTGGTAGCATAGCTTTGAGAATCACAGCAACACACAAGCCAAAATAGTATGACAAACTGATAGACAAGTGGTAGACATTAGCATGGAATAATGATTCCTATTAATTACTATAATTAATTTCTAACCTAGACCTAAAAAATGATATATGACCCAAAACAACATGCATAAGAGGATCATCAATAATGTTTGTAAGTCATGAATGTCAGGGAGAGATAAAAAGAAAATATGTTTCTGGTTAGATGAAAAAATCAATAGGATTTCCTGATTAAGATCTAAAATATCTTATTTGTTCTACAAATAAATGCACAGTCAAACCACACATACTTCATGAAGATCTCATTTATAGATATGTACACACAAAAAAAGTGCACAAAGTAATGACAAAGAGAACTGACAACTGCTTTTTCATCAAAATCTCTATAACAAATCAAGCTACAACTCCACATACCCTGAAACAGAACCATTTTAAATGAACTGAAATACAAGGAATGCCCAAAGGCAAGGTGCCCAGCATATGCCTTTAAGTCAGAAAATTGGTACACTCATTCTTCCTTCTGCTCTACTGGAAGTTCTGTGTGACTTTAAAATTTCCATTCTGCTCCACAAATACCAAGACCTCTGTCAAGGAAGAGAGTTCGATTTGTTAGCTTAATTGTCATGGAGAGTAATAAACCATCATCATTCTGAAACTAAACAGTCCTTTTTCCCATTGTGTATAAGCTTTAGAACGAATTCAGTTTCTTTGTAAAACACTGACATTTTCTTTACAATTATTGCAAACATGTGATTTCATTATATACTGTTTTTCATGCTGTGGCAAATAATAGTCTAAATGTAATGTGTGGTAAAGATAGAATTTTGACCTTATAAATCAAATTTTCAAAGGTGCTTTCTCATAGGCAGAACTATAGTTCAGCCTTTAGATGCTTTGGATGGTATGAACAAGAACTGCATAAAGACATGTCAAATTATAAATAAAATACATAAACATATTTTTTAATATTTTTAAAAACTTGGTTCTTATTAGCTTTGGAAAAGTAACTACTGATTATGTTTTCTTAATGAAACATGAATAAAATTATCTCCCATGATGTTTTCTTCTTCAGAAAAAAAATAGTGAAATATCAAATTCCTACAAAGAAAATAAATGTTACATTTTTTATACTGCTACCATAGGAATTTTCCACACTAATTAACAGAAATCCTTTTTTCCTCCCATTTGACAACAGCATAATTAAAAATCACAGTGATTTTTGCCTCTCTTTTTAGGTCAGACACCTTCATGGTATCACTGTGTTTGAAAACTATTTGTATGCAACCAGTTCTGATAATTACAATATCATAAGGATAAACCGATTTAATGGCAGTGATATTCATTCATTACTTAAAATGGAAAATGCTCGAGGAATCCGAATCTATCAAAAAAGAACTCAACCAACAGGTAAGACACAAGCCTTCTTCATAGCCTTCATTCATACTAGTGGATTGAATGAGGACATAGTCCTTGTGTTTTTGTATGGAGTTAAAGTAGATAAGTCATAAATTCTCTGTTTTGATAGCAAAAGTGTACATGCCTGCCTGATAAAATGGAATAGAGCTCCTTTCACAAGTCTAAATGACAAATTGTTCAGTTCCTAGTGAATCATTTCTACAACCATAGTATTGAAATGATGGCTAGATTTAAGTTTAGGAAGGAGCTTTCAATCATGATATATGTAGACAGGAACCTAGGTGCTAAGAAGGTTTTTTTGATATCATTTTGGAAGAAAAATTTAAAATCAGATGACTGTCTTACAATATCTTCCTAGTATTTATAGCAGTCATTGGACTCTCCTGACTGGACATTATGATTATTTATTAACATATTTTCATTAAAATACTTTTTTAATGAAGAGGCTGCAACTTTTATAAGTATCTCAAACACAAATGAGTTACATTTCACAATAGCTTGTAGCAATGCTTGTTCTGCAACACAATCTATACTCAATCATAGTCAGAAAAATGTAACATACAATGAACTTCATTCTAAGCTTCCATCATCAATTTATGCTTCAAATTAAAACTAATCTAGTCTGTGAGAAAATTTAAGTGGGCCTAATTGAGACATCCAATGCACTGTTACAATAAGTTTATAGCAAATTCAAATTTGGAATTCAGTAGATAATCTTATCAGAGTTTGAAGATGTATTAATTCATCAAATATTCATTGACCATCTACTATTTGCTGGGAATGACTTTATGCATACTGATAATGCAGCAGTTAATTAAACAGACAAAAAAAAAATCTTGAATTTCTGAAATTTCCATTTTAATGGAGAAAACTTCACACAAGTAACCACTTGCCATTGAGTCAACTCCAACCCATGATGACTCCATTTGTGTCAGAGTTGAACCATGTGCC